AAATATGCTCAAACTTTTTCAGTAACTGTTGTAAATTATTTGCATATCCTTTAACTCCTAACCAGGGGCGGACTGACCATTTGGAAACTCGGGCACTGCCCGAGGGCCCGGGGTCAGTAGGGGGCCCCATGAGATGCCCCCAATACCTTTTTCATAGGCTTTTTTGAGTTTGGGCAAGGACACAGGGGCCCCATGATCCCCTATTGCCCGGGGGCCCCATGAGTTGTCAGTCCGCCCCTGCTCTTAACATATATGTGCAGTGACAAAACGATTGGCTTTAATATCCCCACACGCCACACATGCGTCACTGGGCGACCAGTGTTTCTGTGATCCCACTCACTGCATGTTTCGATCACATAGACCGAGCTGTGAAAGGCAGCTGTTGGTCCCCGCTAATGATTGTGGCTGGGAGGACCAACTCCCAATTGTGACCACTGTGACAGCCAATCACAGTGGCCACATGATGGGCTGATCTTTCCTGCCACCCAGCGTTCAGAACTTTTTTAAAGGGACACCGGAGCAGGCAGGACAGGATTTAAGTGTAAACCCTCAAATCTGTTTTCATAACACCTCTCTGTATAGTGTTCCTAGAAATATCTCATCACCAGATTTGAAAAAAAATGCTGCTAAAAGCATGAAAAAAAAAAATTTTCATGCTAACTTGCAGTATTTGTTTTTTCCATAGATCACTTTTTATTCACTTGCAGTGTACCTCTTAACATGCTAGACAATTTGACTACTTCAAGACAGTTATTTCCCTAGCACAGCCCCCCCCCCCCATGCATAACCTAGCCCTCTCCTTTTTCTGGCAGTGTTTAATTGCCCTGTGCTGACACAGCTCCTCTATCTCTATAACCTTTAATGCAGTTGTCAGGGGAGGAGTGTCACTTGAGTGCTGCTAGGGCTGCTGACATCACATCCAAGATGGCGGCACCCAGCAGTAGTCTCTGGGTTTTGGATACACAAGGGAGGCTTTTACAGGTAAATAACATGCCTGGAATACATTAAATGCACATCTAATCATACAGAATTTTTGTTGCAATAAATGGTCTGGTGGCAGGGTTTCTTTTACCTCCTTCCTGACCGCTCCTGCATCCCTTTAACCTCTTGGCGCCGGTGTCTCAGGGCCCTTTAAGAGTTTCAGAAGCCAAGAGGCAGGGCCGGGCTTTAGGGTCATGTGACCACTGTGATTCGCCGTCACGGCGGTCACATGATCGAAAAAGGTCCTGATCGAAAGGGGAGATCGGGACCTTTCCCGGGAGGTGCGCGCTCTCAGCGCATATGTATTTTCTAATTGCATGCAAATATGCGGCCGCTCAGCAACAAGGCCCACACACCGAGAGGCCGCATATTTGCGTGCGATCGGCGTCAAGGGGTTAAAAAGTTCTGAACACCAGGGGTTAGGAAAGATCGGCCGATCGTGTGACCGTTGTGATTGGCTGTCACAGTGGTCACATGATCAGAAGCCGGTCCCACTGGCTACCAATCATTAGCGTGGAACAAGAGCTTTTTTTCATCTGTTGCAGTTTCTTACCTGGAGATCCTGTCAGTAGCAGCACTTTTTCTTGCAGGCTGACTCTGCTAAACTGCTACCTGGCAATTGGTAGCACCGTTGTCAGCCTACAGTGTGCGCTGCTTTAACTGGCCGATGGGCTACGATCAAGTCTGTCAGAAAAGCAGCCCAATGGCCCACTGAAGGGGCTTGAACACCAGGCTGACGATGCTACTACTAATTGTGAGACAGTAGCTTAGGGGTGTATTTATGTAACAACGCAGCAATAATAGAGAACACTGGAGGGAATTGGCAAATAAATAGAAACATTGCCGTCACGGAATTGCATTTCATTTACTAATTCCCCTCAGCGTGTTACATTGTACCGTGTGTCACCAAAATGTATTTATTTCCTATGCTCCATCTAGTGCCCATAATGCAGTATTTGACCGATTCACTCAGTTATGAATGAACCTTTCTTTACTACTGCCGATAATATTTGACCAGAAGAGAAAATAGCTTCAACACGTTTGATTTGCCCCATTCTCACAACACCTGCACAGAATAAAATGTACTTGCCATTTTCCACCCCTTAGTGTTGTCAGCCTGCATAAAAAAGTGCTGTTACTGGCAGGATCCTTGGCAATGGAAATTTGCAACAGATTCACAAAGACACAAAAACTGTATGAGGCGTGATCAGGGGCGGACTGACCATTTGGAAGCTCAGGCACTGCCCGAGGGCCTGGGGTCAGTAGGGGGCCCCATGAGATGCCCCTGGTACCTTTTTCATAGGCTTTTTTGAGTTTGGACAAGGACACAGGGGCCCCGAGATCCCCTATTGCTTGGGGGCCCCTTGAGTTGTCAGTCCGCCCCTGGGCGTGATGTAAAAATATGATTTAGGCTTTACATATATTTTAGGGGCTACTTCATAGTGGTTGAGAGGCTGTAAAACCCTGCGATTGAACCACGTTTTTATCCAACAAACCCCCCCCCATCACTCCCCACCACAGTGGCTGGGGGTGTACACACGCCATGGCCACGATGCCTTGCTTCGCGGCTGCAGAAATTATACCCCCTGTGACATTCAAATGAATGGGGGGCCCAGCCGCCCTGCAATGTAAACGGTTGTGACACGCTAGTGATGGAGTTCAAGCATTCGGTGAGAAGGAGATGCATTGCCTCCTCAATGCCTGTCAAATTCTGTCTGAAGAGTGATGCCAGCACAGATCGCTCTTCAGAGACCAAATCAAGTGTGAACGAGCCCTAAGGCTGCCCAGCTGCTGTAAATCCTGGTTCACTGGAAATACTTAATGGCGGACACACTGCCCCTTGCTTTTAGTAAAACCCTGTTGAAAATGCATATTTGCACAGAATCATGTGTCTCTGACATACCTGTGGGTATGTAATACTGTAAATGCCGTACATGTATTGTACCTCCAGAATATGAATACTTTGAGATTTAATACTGTATACACACATAGACTGCAGGACATTGCTAGGCTGCTGTTGCGACTCCCTCCCCCCCACACCCCCAAACATTCAGATATCTTGGTGCTGCATTTGATGCCTGCCCAGCCTGTTTGGCACGGAGAGGGTTAATGTGACTACTGAGTTGATTAAACCGGCTATCTTGCTTCTTCCTCTCTTTTTATATGCAGACAAATCACGTTTTTAGACACTTTTGACAGAAGTTTCTATATATGTATGTACAGAAGTAGATAAATAAAAATAGATATATATTGATTTGTATATAGGGACAGATATGAATTGGATGGGGCCCTACTGAGGGTGACGCACTCTTGTGGAGTCAGTGTCCTGGTGGAAAGGACAGCAATACAATACAAGGCTGGTTAGTGTTGTATATTCCCATCCGTGTCATGGGTTAAACAGCCAGTAGAGGCTGAAGCTTAGAGCCCTGCAGACTTGTCTCCATCCTTGTGCACAAATGAAGGACGGCAGCCATTTTCTTGAAGACTGTGTTAGCCAGAAAATACATTTAGAATATTGAGATAAGGCTGTGTTATTCCTTTACTGCTGACTCTGATAACACCATGTGTAAATGTGCAGATTTTTGGTAATTAAAAAAAATATATATAGATATATGGTCGCAGTAATTTAATATATAGATCTATGTGGAACCTCCATGTCCATTCACTCCTGCCTCCTACAGCACGACCAATGTAGGCGATGGGGAAATTATGATTTCACAGTTACATTTGCAGCTCCTCTTGCTGGTGAAATCTGGTGTCACAACAGGACTTAATTGGATCGCTATATGGAGGCGTAAAGTCTGTAGAAATTGTTTTCAGATACAACCCCCACTGATTTAGTCTCCAGATCACATATGGTCTTCAAGGCCAGCTCCACTCAACACCGAGATATCCATTTTGGGTGGGTTGAATCACCTACTAGCTTATTATATCATTAGGTGACTCCAGTGGTGATCTTTCTTGTAGCTCATATCTTATTTTACATCCTGGAGAATGCGTTATGGGGTGAATGCACTGTTGACTAACAGCCCAGAGCAAATTTTGGCGAAGGTTCTTCTCCACTGGAGTCCCTAAGAGGATACAAAAAGCCAGCCTGTAAATGGAAATGCCAGCAGACACACAACTGAAATACCATTTTGTTTTTTTTTTGATGGAAATTTTCCTTTTAATAGATTTTTATTTTTGGTTTAATATACCATTTCAGTTGCGTGCCACTGGTTAGCAAGGGGTTGTGGGAAATTGCTGAGTCTCCAACGGTCAAAGTGCACTCCTTTAATGAATTGTTCCACTCTGCTGACAACGATTTTCTGTTGGCGTATTTTGCAGACATTTTATGCCCAATATGCAGGTTTTGGCCTGTGAATAAAATCTGTAGATCAGATTATTTATTTTATTAAGAAATATAATTAGAGGTAAAGTAAATTAAAAATATAAAAAAAGTATCGCTGCTTTTCGTACAGATATCAGTGTTAGCCTTTGTAAACCACAGAGGAGGTAGTCTATATACATATATATATTGTTTATCTTTACATGAAATATTCTAGAGCTGATCTATCAGAGCATCCAACGACATCGATCTTCAAGGGATATGTCACTGGTCTCATGGACAGGCTGAATGGAAGTCTTAATATGTAATAACTTGGCTGGCCAGACAGATGGCGCTGTGGAGCATGAAAGTAGATTATCTGTATAAAAGAATCCATTTGTTTAATTTAAATCTTCAGAGATCATTTGCTTTATCTTTGTGTATTTTCAGAAATTTCTGGTGAGGAATAAATTCCGTTTGATTGAAATAATTTTTGATGTGTGTTTTTTTTTCTTCCTTTTTTACATGGAATTATTGCAAGGGCTAATGTTTCTCATGCAAGCATCTTTGGGAACAGCTAAAGAGGCTTCAAAAACATTCACCAACTAAATTTCACAAATAAAGCCGTGTTGTGAAATCATGTCTAACCACAATTGCATTATATATTATGTCATTAACCCCTTTTGCGAGGAAGGTAAAACAAATCTATACACAGTTTTGCAACTCTTGAGTTTTACATGTGTTCACAAAAAACTGTACATATCACCACAACTACTTCATGAATCTTGGTTTTTGTTTTAGTAAAAATTGGGCTTTCATTTGGTGTTTTAAAGTTGTACTAAACCCAGGACCCTGCGTTCACTATATCTGGTCTCCCCAGACCCTGCATTTACTATATCCGGTCTCCCCGGACCCTGCATTCACTATATCCGGTCTCCCCGGACCCTGCATTCACTATATCCGGTCTCCCCGGACCCTGCATTCACTATATCTGGTCTCCCCGGACCCTGCATTCACTATATCTGGTCTCCCCGGACCCTGCATTCACTATATCTGGTCTCCCCGGACCCTGCATTCACTATATCCGGTCTCCCCGGACCCTGCATTCACTATATCCGGTCTCCCCGGACCCTGCATTCTCTATATCCGGTCTCCCCGGACCTTGCATTCACTATATCTGGTCTCCCCGGACTCTGCATTCACTATATCCGGTCTGGTATATGCAGTAGAGCATGCTTGTTATACTCACTGTGGAACCCAAGGGGTTAATCCTCTGCATTGTGTAAAAATGCTGTTTGATCCTGACCTCTCTGATCCTCCCCTTCTACTGTCCCCAATCCATCTGCTGATAGTACAGAGCCCTAGGGTCCTGGGAGACCGGATATAGTGAATGCAGGGTCCGGGGAGACCAGATATTGTGAATGCAGGGTCCGGGGAGACCAGATATAGTGAATGCGGGGTGCGGGAGACCAGATATAGTGAATGCAGGGTCCGGGGAGACCAGATATAGTGAGTGCAGGGTCCGGGGAGACCTGATATAGTGAATGCGGGGTCCGGGGAGACCGGATATAGTGGATGCGGGGTCCGGGGAGACCGGATATAGTGGATGCGGGGTCCAGGGAGACCGGATATAGTGGATGCGGGGTCCGGGGAGACCGGATATAGTGGATGCGGGGTCCGGGGAGACCGGATATAGTGAATGCAGGGTCCTGGGTTTAGTAACACTTTAAACTGTATGGGTTGTTTTACAAGGTGAGGCTTTACATACACTTTAATGGTTCAGGTGGTGCACAAGTATGAGTTTATGGAATTGAAATGTATTTCAGTTATGTACAGGGAGTGAGAAAAGGGGGACTTGCTGTGCACTGGTCCCTGGCAGTGAGCTGCAAATGTTCCTGATGACCAGTGATAGCTGGAGCTAGAGATATGGACAATGGGGGACCTGAATATACACCGGTCACCAAAAACTGGCAATGGGGCCATGATCTGTACACCATTCTATAGAAATGAAAAATTAGATCATGATGTGCACTGGAAATTTCCAGCAGATGGCCATTGAGAGTGGACATCAAATCTGCTACACTGTTCTGAATTCTCTTAATGAGCCAGGAACAGTGTATAGCAGTGTATGGAATACAGACATCAGCCTTTCCAAACCCATTTACCATGAAGGAACCCTTGATCAAATGTTCTGCTCTCAGGGAACCAAAACCAAACAAGTAATGTATTGCAGCCTATTAGTCCTTGGCGTGGTGGCTGCATTTGTTTTCTTCAAGCCTGTTTTGCTTTATTTTCACCTGGTAATCCTTCATATAACTCTCCACTGTATCTATGGAGGGAGCCATGATTGTTGCCCTTGGCTGCTCTCCTGATAAGAGCTCCAAACATACAGTGGATATAAAAAGTCTACACACCCTTGTTAAAATGTCAGGTTACTGTGATGTAAAAAAATGAGACAAAGATAAAACATTTCACAACTCTTTCGACCTTTAACCTCCCTGGCGGTATGATTATGTCAGGAATTTTGTACCAAAAGCGGTACCATTTTTTTGCATGGAAATATGTAGTTTTTTATTGTAGGCTGTAATTTTTAGGAATAACTTACTGAAATCTATCCGAAAAAGAGTCTATTAAACATTCCGGATATGATAAAACTTGAAACACAAAATCATAAATTATAATTTAATAAATAATCATAAAAAATAATATATATAATAATAATAAATTTAATTCAATAATATAATCAAACCAAAAACACTGAAATTTGAAATACAGAGGCAAATTCGCACATCGCTGAGCAAAGTCACAAAATCGTTTTCAGTGTCTGATGACGAATTTCCCCACAAATGATTATCACTCAATTCTGCAAGTGGTTCTGATTTACTATCGCTGTTCTAAAACCGCTTTTGACGTAAAGGGATGCTTTTTGGATGCCATGGGCTTTCCAGGCAGAAAGAACAGTCAAAATGCAGGCAGGGCACATGACAAAGCAGTGGGGACAAAATGTATGTGAAATGCAGTGAAAAAGCAATGACAGCAAAAATGTCACTTTTTAAAAATTTTAAAATTTCCCGCCGGTTCCGCCGCCCGAACATTCCGACGTCACAGGGACCGGAACACGGAAGCCAGATGCCGGCATCCGCCGGAGGAGATGGACGGGGACGCTGCAGGGGACCCATCGTGGGAGCGAAGGACAAGGTAAGTGCTGCAGGGACCCCCAGAGAACGCTGCATGGTAAGCCCGAGTGCAGCTCGGGGTTACCGTTCTTGGTATAGAAATTCTACCCCGAGCTACACTCGGGAATACCGCCAAGGAGGTTAATGTGACCTATAAACTGTACAACTCAATTGAACAACAAACTGAAATATTTTAGGCAGAGGGAAGTAAAAATAAAAAAAAACTAAAATAATATGGTTGCATAAGTGTGCACACCCTTAAACTAATACTTTGTTGAAGCACCTTTTGATTTGATTCCAGCACTTTTTGGGGATGAGTCTATCAGCATGGCACATCTTGACTTGGCAATATTTGCCCGCTCCTTCTTGCAAAAATACTCCAAATCTGTCAGATTGCGAGGATATCTCTCCTGTGCACACGCCTCTTCAGATCACCCCCCAGATTTTCGATCGGATTCAGGTCTGGGCTCTGGCTGGGCCATTGCAAAACGTTAATCTTCTACTGGTGAAGCCATTCCTTTGTTGATTTGGATGTATGCTTTGGGTCGTTATCATGTTGAAAGATGAAGAAGTTCCTCTTCATGTTCAGCTTTCTAGCAGAAGCCTGAAGGTTTTGTGCTGATATTGACTGGTATTTGGAACTGTTCATAATTCCCTCTACCTTGACTAAGGCCCCAGTTTCAGCTGAAGGAAAACAGCCCCAAAGCATGCTGCCGCCACCATGCTTCACTGTGGGTATGGTGTTCTTTTGGTGATATGCTGAGTTGTTTTTTGCGCCAAACATATCTTTTGGAATTATGGCCAAAAAAGTTCCACCTTGGTTTCACCAACCCATAACACATTTTCCCACATGCTTTTGGGAGACTTCAGATGTGTTTTTGCAAAGTTTAGCCGGGTTTGGATGTTTTTCTTCGTAAGAAAAGGCTTCCATCTTGCCACTCTACCTCATAGCCCAGATATCTGAAGAATATGGGAGATTGTTGTCACATGTACCACACAGCCAGTACTTGCCAGATATTCCTTTAGCTCCTTTAATGTTGCTGTTGCTTTTGGCAACCTCCCTGACCAGTTTTCTTCTCGACTTTTCATCAATTTTGGAGGGACGCCCAGTTCTTGGTAATGTCACTGTTGCTTCATATTTCCTCCACTTGATGATGACTGTCTTCACTGTATTCCATGGTATATCTAATGCCTTGGAAATTCTTTTGTACCCTTCTCCTGACTGATACCTTTGACGGGGAAACCCAAAACTCATGGGTTTCAGTAACATTTTGACTGCTGAAGCCGGATTGAAAGTAGATGTTTATTATACAAGGATGTAGCTAGACCTCCATGCAGGGAGAGCAGAACAATACATGGTGTTGGATTCAAAGAAATGCTCTATCTAACTAAGGCTTTGTAATACAATTTATATGCTCTACAGTGGGTGGTACCTAGCTATCTGATCTTTCTTTGAAGAGTCATCTGTGTCTTTGGTGTAACTCATTGAGATGCGAATAGTTATCCAAATGTTATTGTTACTTCCATTGTCCTTTGGGTTTAACAGGTCTTCAAAGGCTGTGATAATAATCTTGTAGACAATAGGTGGTGTGAATGCTGCGGTAGCTGGAGGTAGAACTGGAGTGCCAAATGTATTTCATATTTATATTTATATCTAGAAATGGCTGCTCCATTTTCCCTTACAATCCCTCCTCTTGGACATCATATTGTCCAAACAATTATCCCTTCCTAAAAAGAAATTTGAGAAACATATTTGCTTTACAATTCCTCCCTTAAATTCTCATACATCTCACTTTGTTTGCCTAATATTTCTTTTCTAGTTCATATTTCTCCTGATTTATACATCCAATTTACTTCTGCAGAAAAATCTAATTTTGCTTCACAAAGGCTGAAAAATGCAAAACATTAAACAAAATTAAATATCAAAAAGTCTAAAAAAAACCTGTGTGTGGGCTAACTGTTTATGAACGCCAAGTCTTTAGTTGATTCCTCCAATGTATCCTTGACAGCTAGTCCTCCATAAGACTGTACTGCAACACCTAAGAACTCGTACAATGTTCATACATAATATTTTTTCTTCAGGACCATCGCAGTCCACATGACAAGAAACTTCCGGTAGGTGTGCAGATCTGCTGCAATTATAGCAAATTGAGCTTTGACTTCTATTCATGGACAGCTGAAATGATAAGTGGAAATGTTCTTCAGATACTTAAAAGTTTTGAAACCACTTTTCTCCATCACTGTTGTTTGTGGCTGATGTCAAGAAGTCCAGGAATAAGGGAGGATATTTTTGAAGATGGCGTCATTCAGATTGCTAGTCCAACATTAGGTATTTAACAAAAATGCCCATGAAGCCATGGCGTTTTTATTTTTCTGCCGAAGTAAATCTGTGTTATAGAGACAATAAGACCTAGAAAAAAAAAGAAATACATCTTAATACGAGGAGAAACCACTCTCACTTTGTATAATGTGTTACTCAGTCGTCATCCAAACTTAACTACACTATTCATAATTCAATCATAAACAATCAGCCATCTTAAAAAGGGCCTATCATGTATGGCTGGGATCAGTGACCAGGAACATGTAAGTACAGAGACAGGAGACTTGGAGAGCACAGAATACAGGACTTAGAAGAATGGCAGGAGGACAGTTCAGCACTGGGGCACTGGTCTTAAAATCAAGCAGGACACAAAATGCTAGTAAGAAACACTTGTAGCACTGGGGATCAGGGCTCACAGGGAATGCAGGCACACAGGATACAGCTGATATATCAAGGATTCTAAGACAGGAAGGATACCCAACAGTATCATCTGGGGAGAACACAGCATGTCCGCACATGCAACAAGGGCGAGGGCCCTTGTAAGGGCCGAGGCGCAGAGTCTAAGGAACTGCCTTGTCTTCTCCAGAGCTCTTGAAGGTAGAGATGGGTTTGCTGCAGACAGTCCCCAGGTTGCGGTCCTCGTACTCACCCAGGCAGGAAGCTACTGGGAATTACTAACTGATAAATACGAACCCCTTGCAGTGATGAGGCACAGGGATCACTGGACAGTAGGGAGCTCAGTTCAAGCTGACATGCATAGAAACACACAGACACTGGGAACAGAAAACTAGGAGTAGGTAGTAAAGCAAGCAAACAAACAGGAGTCTCTAAGAGCAGATAGAGATGTACGGTGACACCAAACAGGAAACAGGATTGAAACACATTCGGAGACACAGAGACAATCTGCTAGGACCTTTAAGGTGTAAAGCCTGAGGCAATGAGCCACATTAGAATGAGAAGATGCCTGGCTGGGGGCTCATTAAATCAGCAGCAGGAGGTTAAGCAGCCTTAAACACAAGTCTTGTGGGACAATAGGCAACAGCAGAACCTTATAATTTAAAGTCATGGAACTACATGTACCAGCATACCCCTGCTGCTCTTTGGAAATAGAGGAGACAGATCTGAAGAAAAGCTGAAGACCCTGACATAGATTTAATTTAAAATCTTGACAATATCTAACTGCTTAACAATCAATATAGTAACACTAACACACATTCATTATATTTCTTAGGATATTATAGGTGTTAAAATAGAGAAACAATTATTCAACTCAATAGTCAAACTTTCACAATAATATAAAAACTTTATAAGATAGAAAATGCTCAGTTCTATTGTCACTGGTAATAGGGGATTTCTGGCTTTGTCTGGTTCGTTTGGGGACCTCTCTTAGAGTTGTTGAACTCGTTAATACCAGAGCCCATACATGTTAGATCAGAACACACAACAAAGAAGAT